TTGTAAACATTCAACCAATACTAACCAATTTTTAGCTATAATTTATTCAGTGTTCCTTAAACAAGTGAATTTTTACCCAAAAAAATCTTGCATATTAATAATATCACATGTATGTCTATTTGTAGGGAAGGCCGATATGGTCTGTCGACGCACAAATAAAATGCAGAATAATTTGCGATAGTGACTATTCCAATTGCATTGTTTTTCTGATAATATGTAGAAACTCAAATTTATATCATTGAAATCAGAAACAAGATCTTATTAATGCATCAAATTTTCCACATAAATGGCATCAGCAGCAAAGGATTAGTGTCGTACTTTCTACAGTATTGTTGGAATTGAGTTTGTTACAAACGACGTTGTCAAACGCGTTCGCGGCGCTCGGGGATGTAATAAAATTGTTTTAAATATGGCTTGCCCACTTCAGAGACAGAAAGCGATGAGATGCAACATTACACACTACAATATTAGTAGAGAAATTGTTTATAAATAGCAGAAGAGATTCAAGGACTGTTTTCACAATAGTTAATTCTAAAAGAAAAAGAGTACTGTTTGTTAAATTCAGACGGTATGGAACGTTATTGGTCACTATCAACGTCAAACATTGTGTTTTCTCTGCTTCCTACAGTACAAGGTAAGGCAACCTTTCGAGGACTGAAATTTAATTCCGATCAAAAATTTTGTCTATGGTGAATTTTAATGAGCCCCTCATTCAAGAGTGATTTGCCAGTTTGAAAAGACCATGACATGCTTAAGACGCGTATTAAACACACGGGACAATACTAAATGATCACGACGTTATTTTAGACGTAAATTACGATCGCTTTCGTGCGCCGACGTACACTTATATGCTTTCTTCATTTACATTATTTTCTTATCATATATGTTTTAATCAAGAAAATTGAAATTTGTGATTATTAAATGTTGCTCTTTGCTATGACAAGAAAAGAAATTTAATTTAGCAAAAAGATACTGAATTGTAATCCTAGTCTACGACTTTTTGGGACAACCCTCGTATAAACATTAAAAAAAAACCCCGGAAGATCTGTACTTTCTAATAGTTGAGGGAGGTTTTGTTAGATGTAAAAATGAACGTGATTTGCTTGTTTATGTCATTCAAACCAATAAAAAAAATTTCAAGTCAATATGATTAATCTGTATATACTCGAATTAACCGGTATTTTCTAATAATAGATTTATTTTCACATTTTGACAATCTTCCTTTAAAAATAAATTGTAACATGCTCGGTCGATATGCTTTTCTGTAAGGTCGACCCCATGAACGGGATACATTTGTATAATGAGTTGCTAATTTTGATTTTTTTTTTTTTGGGGGGGGGGGAGGGGGTCATTACTAAAAAAGGTCATTGCAGATGCCACATAATAATGCTTTTTTCTTCTTCTTTTGATTTTTCTAATTGTGCAGTTGTTGACAAGGTTAAGATATCCCTGGATTTTTTTCAAACAAATTTAACAATTCATAAAATACCCATACTTTAACATCAATGCAAATAAGGTACAAGGCGTGCAAAATACCTATGACTTCAGATATATAAAATCCATATTCAATTTGTGAATTTAGTATTTAGAGTTTAGCTCTCATTATTAAAATTTATGAAAATATGATAAACAAAATTTTTCTTAGCATTTCTCTCGGCAAAATATTATTCTTTTATTGAAAAAATAATGTGGAATTCGTAGGATTTGAACCAAAGAAAAGAAAATCCTGAATATTATTTCCCTTTGAGATTAACACGCCAACCACTACGCTTAACAACTCCTGAAGATTACTGACATTAAAATCATTTTTGTGATATAATCTTTGACGACATGGACTTCAAGATTTTCTAGGAAAGATGCGAATGTTGTCTCATAAAAGTGTATTTTTAAGGTGTAGTGGGTCTTTGCTCCATGTTTTTGTTAGCTAAAAATGATCACGTGGTAGTCCGTGTTTATCAAATTGAACACACCCGTGAAACGTAAACTGTTTTTGTAAACAGAGCACGAGCTCTGTTATTGTTAATGTTAACGTTTCACCGGGTGTGTTCAATTTGTTAAACTCTGCACATATCACTGAGCACGGACTGACAATACTGGTGAGTTAGTTTTGCTTTCTCACATTTCTACTCTGAATTTTCAGGATTTTAGTTTAAATACATTTCATTAATACAGAGCAAAATTTCTACATTTCTTAAGTATTAAGGATAAAGTTTGCTTTGTGAAAGTGCAAGAATGTGTCAATAAAACGCGCCCCGATATTTGTAGTTTCAATAATTTTCAGATCAAATAAGTTTTTTTTTATTATATTTCCGTATGAAATGCTATAGCAACATTAAGTCATGATATTATATAGAAAACTTTAGAATTATTAACTTCAAATCTGTGTCTATGTCCCTTTAATGATATATTGCATTTGCTGAAAGTGTCATTGTTTCGACCATAGAACTTGTAAAATCTTGACTTTGAATGAGACAGTTGATATCCTTCTTTCATCAATTTCTTTTTCAAGAGCTTGTCTGGTTTTAGAAATTGTTCGTACGTGAAGCATGCTCTTGTGTATCGAATCAACATGGAGATGTAAACCCAGTATGCAGTTGATAAGGATGTATTGCTACATAAGTAAGGGAATTGACGATAGAAAAGTTGAAGTCATCAGGTTTATCATACAGTTTGTTGTTAGCTTCTTTTTCTAGTAATATATACAAATATGAAACAGATGTGTCAGACTCTGTGGTATCTTTATTTCAAGTTTACTGGGATATATCGAGTCTACATATCAAATGAATAAAGATTGTTAATTGATAATACGTCGTCAATATATCTAAATGTCGAGTTAAAGGCCACAGCAAGTGTATTCTTCTGGTGAAAAAGTTTTTGAATATATTCTGCTTTATATGAATGCAAAAATAGGTCTGCCTATACATGTAATGGGACGCAATTGGTACCCATAGAAATCCCGGCAGCTTGTTGAAAATTGCAAATGACCAATGACAAGAAAAGTAAATTTACTAGCTCCATTTTTGTTAAAAAGCAGCTGTCTACGATGTAAGAAAGTCTGAACTTAAATTTATCGTGGAGAATGGTTGTATATAGTGTTGAAAATTCGTACATTTTGATGTCATTATTAAAAAGAAAAAGCAACATATAAGATCCTAAACATAAATGCAGAAAAGTGTCTCTACATTTCAAGTATGAGATATTTAAACGGAAGTATTTGCTCTTATTTTTTTAAAGAAATAAATATATTCAATACAAAAAGATTGATTGTATACTTTAAGAATAAGATGCGAGACTAGAGAGAAATTAATGTGTAACATTATCTATTTCTTTCATTATGAATGGTTGACAAAACAGCAATGTTAAGGCTTCCCAGAGAATATCGCAGTGTAATCTGTGCCTTCACTTCGCTGAACTACAAAAGTATGACGTCATAATTGAAAATGACGTCAAGTCACTGTAAACTTGATATAAACTGATGGAGAAAGTGTCATAAACTTTACACCTTATTTTAATCTGCATATAAAGTGTCAGAAAGGTAGTGTAAAATAAACGTGTTTTAAATCTTATATACCCGAATATTTTAGATAATTTTGATTTATTACTCTTGATTAAAAGTCAGCGTGTTCAAAATATATACGAAAATATACGTTTGACATTTACCCTTTTTTATACCCTTGGATAGAAGTAGAATTTATGATATGTGTATAAAAGAGCCTGGCGCAGCTGATTAATGAGGATTTATTTGAGATCTTTTCTGGAAAGCTGTAAGAGGAGTTTCCCCTCTAACTGAATCTTGCATGGGAAAAACGTGTGTTGGCTTTGTTTTAATACAGATGACGAAATTGAGTGGAAAATACCCTCAAATTTGTCGGTAAGTTATTTATTGTGAATTATTTTGTACCAGAGTAATAGTATAACTTTTCCCAAACACATTTCGGGTTCACAAGGATATGAGGAGTTTATTTATGTGACAAAAAGTTAATAATAATTGTGTTAATCTGCTGCGCCGAAGCGATTTATGTGAAAAACTTCAAAAAAGCAGAAATGACCGTTACGTGATCAACGAGGTCATGTGATATCGTAACAAATACGTTTATATATAGCCTAGAGAACTCACAACATAAATTGGCCGTACTTAAGTATATAACTTACAAATAAAAATAAAAATCGACCTTGCAATGCAGTGTTATGTTTTGAACGCATTTAAAGCTTCGGGAAGCCTTAACATTGTTGCGAAGAAAATTAAAGAAAAAATGACAAAATTGGTTCATTGATTTGTATCTTTTAATACATATATCAAAAGTCATATATATAATGAAATATGGAAATAACAAACACTAATTAAAACAAAAAGTCTATTGAAACAATACAAATCAGGAGAAGAGAAAACAGGGGCCTCTGAAAAACATCCGAGGTGGGATACAAGTCAAATTGAATTTTACATATTTATTTATTTATTAATTATAAATAAATATCAAAGAGAAGATTACTTTTACACCCTCCCTAACAAATTAAGTATGGCTAACAATTCAAACGATTTAATAGCATGAGAATGAAAAAAGTGACTTGAAATATTCAACAACGATAAATAAAATGCGTATAAAAATTCAACATATTTAAAGAGATGAGATATTTTGAATTTACCAGTATACGAAAGAAGGAACCAAATAATTACATAAAATAATAACAATAGATTTTAACTACATAAACATAACTTTGATATAAATAATTGTTTTTATAACACATAAAAGATAATAAAATGTCAACTTTCTTTTGAAAAATATTAATATTTTGATTGAAAAGAAATTGTGTTTTCATCTGATCGACAGAACGTCGTTTGCAACTTTGAATTTTAAGCAATTTAACATAAAACGTTTGACAAACGCTGTTGTATAGATGCATTCACAATTTTCTTTTATCAGTATCCAATGCTTTTATTTTCAAGAGCAATTTTTATTATACTTGAACAAAGCATAATAATATAACAATTTTTATCATAATTATGTAGGCTTAAACAAATTGGACAATTGTAGATGTAATAAATCTTCGTTTTCTCCATTTCCTATCGGCCATCTTAAGTACTCAATGCACCACCATATATTTTTGATATCGTTTGGTAGTCTCTCTAATGGTATATTGTCTTTGATGATGACAACAATGGAACTCTGACGCTGGTTGTGGAAGGCGTGAGTAACCGCCATCTGGACGGCGTATGAGGCCCAACCACTCTCCAGAAAGCATTCAGTGATCACGAACAGCACTTTTCTACTTTCATTTATACATTTAACTATCTCCTCTGCCTCCCAATCTCCTGGAATCGAATCTCTGTCCTTAAGCCACACCTTAATATTTAATCTTTCCAATTTTGGGTACAGATCACGAATAATCCAGGTATGGTCTTTCTCACCATATGACACAAACACATCATAAATGTATTTGTTTTCTCCATTTTTTAGATGTACACCCTTCCACCTGTTTTTAAGTCGTAGTATAACATATTCCACGTGTATACGGTATCTTCGTAAAGCAGCTACTATCAGAAGTACAGACGAAGTAATCAAAATCAACACAACAGAGAAAATAAGCCATTGCTTAGTTTGGCATTCTTTATCAAATTTTCTCCAGATTTGTTCATTATAAAATAAGTGGTTGATAGGCACTCGATTCCCTGCGCATAACGTTTTATTAATATCAGAAAATACATGTTTGTGACTTCTCATCCATCGCAAAGACTGAATAGCTGAACAGGTACAAGAGATCGGATTTCCTTCTAAGTAAATTGATATATTTCCAAGAGTTTCAATGATTCTTTGGTCATTTCTTGAGAACCCAGATATCAAATTGTATCGAAAATGCAGAGTTATTAAATTCTGCATATATTCGAAGGAGGCAGGAATGTTAGAAAATTTGTTATTGTCTAGGTTTATTTTTATCAAAGAATGATGTTGGTCTTTCAAAAGAGAGAAAGGTATATAATTCAATTTGTTTCTTGAAAAATCGATTGAAGAAAGATTTTTTAGATTTCTAAAAAGATCTTTCGAATTTGATTTTTCATTGAAATCTAGATTCATGCCAATCGCATAAAAGTTCTGAATTCCTCGAGAATGATGAAATAAACCTGAGTGATTTTTTTCAAAGCTATTACCAGATATGTTAAGAGTCTTTAATGATGGCAAATCAAATTCGTCAACGTATGCCAGTGGAAAATTTGTTTCTTGGATGTACAATTCTTGCAATCTTTCCCCAGTAATTTTGAAACTAGGTGTCCATCTTTTTACATTATGTACATAATTTTTCGAAACATCAAGAACTTCCAGATTTTTCGACAGTGTTATATTTATAGAGATTATTGATCTATTGTATTGATAGAAATTCAACTGGTTTTTCATTTTTGGATTATTGCAGCAAAAATTCATATTCTTCATGTTCGGTGCAAATAACAAAGAAAGAATGCTTGATAAATCCACAACATACAAATGATTTCTGCTAAAATCTAGATACTGTAGACAGTTCCATAAAGTTGTATTGTAGATATTAATGTTTATAGAGTTAATGCCATTCTGTTGTAAAAATAAGGCACGGACACATACATTGATAAGATATTCTGACAACCACTCGTCTAAAACTATAAAATCTCTTTCAAGATCTTTACTATTTTGATCCATATAAATTCTACCAATATTGCGATGCTGGAAACATTTTAGAGAGCGCAAGGCCGGAGTAATGTCACATTTTCCACCAAAGCGAATTCTAACCTCTTCTGAAAGATATGGAAAGGAACAAAACAGATCTTCAGTAACGTCACAATACACGTGATTTTTAAAATACATATTAAGGTAATGAATTTTGGAGCGCCGAAGTCCTAAAAAGGAAGTATTTGTTAAACTAAAATCATTTACAATATGAAACTTTAATTCAGATAAGTTTGTTAAGTTTTCAAATGGTGCTGTAAATAAAAATCCGCTGAAAATGTCGATATGAAGACTCGACAATGGCTGAATTGCAGAAAGGGCAACATCCGGGTAACCATCTGGTTGAAAATTATTTTGATCAATTCGAAGGTACTTGAGGTTGTGTATATAGGAAAAAGCTTCAACTTCTATTCCGTTTTTATCAAGCTCACAACTTGAAAGATCTAGACTGCATAAACTAATAAGTCTACTGAAGGCTTTGTTTTCTATTTTTGTAATTTTGTTATGACTCAGGATAATGGATGTCACAACTGATACAGCAGCCAGATTTTCAAAGATTTGTTCCGTTAAAGTAGAAAATCTAATAAATGACAAATCCAACGTCACATTGCGGTTTCGTAACTTTTGTGGTATTTTTTCAGGTAGACTGTCTGTATTGAGACCACTACAGTTCCATAGAATTCCAAAGTTTCCACATTCATCTGTGTAAGGCGCTGTTGGACAGGGGTATGAAATAACAGTCAGGCTACTAACTGCAAATAAAGATTGATTCATACAGCATTTTGTTTAACTTTTAAGTAGAAAACAGAAATTCAGATTGAGTGAAAAGAAAACATGTACAAAGTCTTATTTGTTTCTTTAAATCCTGGCTTCGGGGGCCACCAACTAACAAAAATCTCAGCTCAAATCTTAGCTTCAAATCTTTGAAGTCTGCCTCACCTGAGATTTTCCTAAAACGCCGTACCACCAACATTTCTGAGATTCGTCTCACGTAAGATGATATTTGAGAAAAATCTTAGACTTATTCTTGTTGTTATATGCGACCCTTTTTCTATTAATGCACGCATTTGTTGAATGAATGGTTGAATTTACCTTTTTTTTTTTTCTTTTTTTTTTGTGCAATATTTTGGCATACAATCGCGAAAAAACACATACTCTACTTCCTTCGTCTTTTATTTGCTGTTACGAGTCATTCAACGGAAAGAATTCCATTACGATCTTTGCGACAATAAATATTAACGGAGTCCCCGTAAAATATTCCCTACAGAAGAATAACACAAAAAACATATCCAAATTTTATAGTCTTGGCTCGTCTGTCGACATAAACACACAAAAATATACACCGATACGTGTATTCCACCATTGTGATGTTACATGCCGAAAGATTACAAAAGGATAGGCGGATTAAGACTATATTTGCAGGCCGATTACACATTTTTCTTTCTTAAATTTTGTTTCGTAAAATGTCAGATATATCTATAACATTTTATTCTCCACAGAAAAAAAATTAGGTATAGTGACTTTTGTCCCTATTTAGAATAATTTTTTTCAAAAAAAATCGTTTTAAGCGATCAAAGTTTTACCGCCGAAATAATGATTTAATTACTGCCAACTCGGCGTTAAGAAATAAACACTGAATGATTTTTTAACTAATTAAAGGATCGAAATATAGCTAATTTTCACACATCATAATTTTCTCGAGTGTTTCGTAAAAATTGTGCATGCATAATGCAACAGAAAACATGTCCAGGGGCGGGTAATGTATGGTTGGTTTTACATGATCCCAATTTATCAAGAAAATTCCTTCCCCCGAAGAAAGAAAAACCTGAAATTGAACTACGGGCATGTTTAGGGCCGAGGCTAAATAACACATCGCATTTTCCACGATCCCCTGTTAGAAAATGTCAGAGAAACAGAGAAGAGGCTACATCCCCTGTGAGAAAAAGTCTAGAAAAATAAATATAATTATTCTTTTCAGATATAATAACAGCGAATATAGTGAACAATTTCCTGTTTTTGTTGTTGTTTTTTAATGTAACTGGTCGTATTAAAAATAAAATAAGTTCTCGTAGTGATTTATACATGTACTTTAGAATGGTTAAAAGTCAGGCTTATTCTTATAAATAATATGAACGGTCAAGGATTTTTATGTGCGATGCATCGTGAGTGTAGAGTAGATCCCAATTCTCAATGAAGAATTTTATAGATTTAGTTAGGAACCAAATTAGACAGACTGCTATCATCAGTGATTAATAAATTGTGATTTGTAAATTATTTCGAAAGTATAGCAATATTGGTACACAGAATTTTAAACAGCATCCTTTTAATATTTGCGTATAATTTTCACCGGCGATTAGGTGTATATTGTACACGTAAAAAATAACTATCGGAGAAAGAACAAAGAAGAGGACGTGGAGGTTTGAATATTTTAACTAAGTCATATTTCCTTTTCTGATAAACATGTACAATGTGAATTAATAAAGGGGGAGTTTCGATAAGGCCGTTTTTCGGCCCCTCACGAAATGTTATGAAATTTTGATATTTTGTAGAAAAACTCCTTATCTTCCTAAAAATATGAAAATAATTTATGTTACGCATTTTCCGGTCACGTGATAATTGAAAATTTAAGTATACCCCCTTTCGTATATTTTTGGAGTAGACATTTTTATAGGGGGAAGTGCATTTTTTCAACCGTCAAAATCGTAAATGAAACAGGATAAATATGAATAAAGACATAAATTAACCAATTTCAACAATTTTTTTTACGGAAAATGGTATTTTTCTTATGCGAATGTTTTTAAGGTGCTATATTTTTTCTGGTGCGTTAAATGTTACTTTTCTTTAGAAGAGAATGGATTTAACTTATAAAACGTAAACATATATAGAGAGTTTTAACATCATAATTAATCGACAGTTTATACATAAACTTTATAATCAATATTCACCATTTTCCCATACGAAAAATGCAAATAAAAAAATATGTAGACATGAGATTGGTAAGCGTAAAAACGTCATATACAGGTATATGCAACACATTTTCATCAATGAGGTTATACAACTACATGTTTTATAAAAATATACCTTAATATCATAAAATTGAAATTAAATAAAATGTTTGAAATAAAAAAGATTAGAAAATAAATGCAACTTTGTATACATACATAAATAAAAAGTTTATTTCAAAGCATCATATTGCTACGTAATCCGGTACATTGTAGTTACAAGGTATGAAAAATATTTTATCTGGCGGCCGCCACATAAATAACTGGCGGCGACCAGAAACTTATCTGGCGTCCGCCACATAACTAGAACTAGAAGCCGGCAAATAAGTTTCTTGCGGTGTAGACATATTATGTAATAAAACATAAATTTAAAGTTATGAGGTGAAGACCTTATGGAGTGAATTTTTGTATAAAATGTAGATTTGATCTTTGCTAATGCATGAAACTCCCAGATTTGACTACAAACAGAAGTTGTAGATGTCGTTAAAGGCAGAGATTTTAAGCACCGCCTTCATAAATACCTGGTCTGTGCACCTCTGTCAATCAAGTACATTAAGGTACATCATTGGGTGCTACAACTTGATTGACAAAAACACTACAATTTTATCTGGCGGCCGCCAGATATTTCAATGGCAGGCAGTAGAAACTTATCTGGCGGCCGCCAGATATTATATATTTTTTTCACCTAGCACCTAGCTACGAGCTTCAGTATATTGCAATGTATTTGATATTATTAATAATATTAATTACAGTCAAAAATATTTTATCATGATACGTAATATGTGAATAGCCAAATGATGGAAAAATCTATAATACATTGTTTCCTTTTCATTATGAAACGTAGAAGTATTTGCCCACATAGACCTGCATTATGTTTGCAGCATAACTGAGAGAATACCAGCCAGGACTATTTTCCTCTCGCTTCCCAACTCTCCATAGATACTTAAGTTACTTCACCAACTCTAGTCACTTCTCATTTAGAGAGTTTTAGATTCATTATAAATGATTTGCTAGACCAGAGTGCAGTTCGAAATACACATGTAAACGCCAAAGATATGTGTTTAACCCTTAATCAGACAGGCATATGCGCCTAGACATCCAGACTTAAAACAATATATCAACCACACGGGCGCTTCTCTAGCATGCTAGAGCGTGGATTTCTATTTACAAGAAAGTCAAAAATATAACTATGCATGATAAATAACGTTAAGGAATAGGCTGGCTCTAAGACTTTTTTTTCAGTCAGTCGGAAAATGTAAGAAAGATCTAACATCTGAACCATGTCTGGTAGTGTGCAATCCTAGATGCATCACCAGTGCAAGTTTGGTCACGAAAGGGCTTATAGTTACATAAGAATGAGACCCGCCTCAAAATCTTTAAACTGCTAACTCATTAAGGAAATGTAGGTCATATCCAGAATCTGAAGCAAGTTTTGAGATGCATCATGAAGCAAGTCTGGTCAGCAAGTGCTTACAGCTGCTCTGCTCCAAAAACTTTAACCTGCTTTTAAAACATTTATCTGGACATTCTGTTGCTAAAAATCCAGCATCTGAAACCTCACTTGTGACAAGGAAACACGTTAGATCAGGTGACTCTGATTAATATAGGGCATAGATATACTTGAAAAAAAAATCTGCTTCAAAAACTTGTACCTTAAACGCAGATGCCGACGGTATTACAAAAGCTCCCCGAACTTCGAGGAGGTGAGCTAAAAATATGACGTTAACGTTATACGTTGGCGATAAAAAAAGTATCAAAATGAAGATAGGATACGATAATGTTTTCTACTGTTAATTTAATCGAGAATCTTATTTGATTAAAAAAAAAATGCAAATTTTGGCTTAGTATTTTAACACAGAGTCAGATCAAGAAACCAGGAGCTTCTAATTTTAGATATGCAAATTTTATGCAATTTTCAATTTTTGGATATGAAGTGCACACGCGACACTCATCATATTTCAAGAAATTAGTATGCAGAGTATATCTAATTACTGAACAAATTTAGGTGAGTGTCCCTCATGCACTTCATATTCTAAACATCGATTTATAAATGCCACCCTCTTATATTTTCCCATAAGCCTAATGTTAACGGATCTGAGGGTACATCTAAGTATGTATCAGCTACGGTGTGAATTCATCTCATATTAACTTTTAAAATATAAATAGCAAAAGTTAACATATTTATCTTGAATTCTAAACTAGTTTTGAAAAAATTAATTGAAATTTATTTTTAAAGAAAGAAAGTGGGCCGCTGAGTGGCCTTATCGAAACTCCCCCTTTGCCTATAACCATAAATAGCACACTAAAATATGAATTTAATTTTTTAAAACTAATTCCTGTATGAAATAAGATACACATATTATGTATAACGTGCCACAAAATGTTGCTTTTATTCTTTATTTTTTCCTTATTTTCTTCTTTTTTTTTCTTTTGGTAAAGTTTCAAATGTATTGTTTCAACGTGTGGACAATATTATAACCGTGGAGGTTTGATATTTTATCTAAGTCATATTTCCTTTTCTGATAAACATGTACATTGTGAATTAATTTATTTGCCTGTAACCATAAATAGCACACTAAAATAAAAAAATTGATTTTTTAAACAAATTCCTGTATGAAATAAGATACACATATTATGTATAACGTGCAACAAAAATGTTGCTTTTTTCCCCCTTATTTTCTTCCTTTTTTTCTTTTGGTAAAGTTTCAAATGCATTGTTTCAATGGGTGGACAATATTATAAGTTTTTTTGCATGTGCGCAAGACACCCCCCCCCCTTTTCATTAAATACGGTATCTTGTTCTGGGAGAAATTAACATGCTTTCTGTGCTTGCATGTTAATTTCGTGTATTCATGGATAAAAGCATGCATTGTCATAACATTTGCAACCATTTTACCATATTCTAATTCTGTGAAATTTTATTTGAGCCTACTATGTACCATATCAAGATTTCCTGAGAAATCTCAGATTTTTTTCTCAGCTGAGTCGGAAAAAACGTTGGTGGCACGCATATTTGAGAAAAATCTCAGATTTGAGAAAAAAAAACTCAAAAGATAAGTCCGAGTTTGAGAAAAAAATTATTTGGTGGCACAGTTTGGTGAGAAAAACTCAAAATTTTTGAGAATTCTTAGATTTAAGAAAATATCAGCGTTGATGGCCCCGAAGCCTGGAGTTCATGTTCTGTGTTCTAAATCTTGAATTCTGCTTACCAGAATATTTTTCACACTTAAAAGCGAATTTAAAGTAGAAAACGTTTTCATTTAATAAATAAATAATAAAGTTAAAAGTTTCACTGGGAAATTGATTTGGTTGGTAATATGATTGAATCCTTAATTAAATATTTAACCAATACCTTTTTTATAAGAGGTATGTAAAAAATATATTTAAGGCTTTAATGTAAATATTGATTTGGATTTACGTCAGATTTCACATGCAAATGTATATCATTTTCTTAACATGATGTTTTATTCTATTATTTTTTGTTATTTAATTTATTTTATTTATTTTTTATCCCTTTGTTTTTTAGATTACAGACAGACGGATTAATACGAGTGAAAACTATTCATCATTGAACTGTTTACTTTTGTAATTTTTATCAGAAGATCAATTTTTAATCAAGCACACTTCAATAAAGACTATCGGATAAAAATGATTAAAATGATTTTAAAGGCAATAACACGGACTATGATCTAATTTAGCTTAAATATAATGTACTAATTTATTGTCTAGAACTGTGAATACGTGTTAGATAATCAGACGTGAATTAAAAACAAACTCTTCTAAAATGCAATCGTACATATAATAATGAGCCTAACAGCCTTGTAAGACCATATTGTTACAAGCTTTGTTAGCTAGATCAAAAACATATTTTCATGAAAACCGAATGGGTATATATTTAACTCTTTGCCATTTGTTTTTTTTTATATAAATTTTGAATATATAACTAAAACGTTAAATAAACTCTGACAGCGTGTCAAGGTCATCCATTTCATATTTAGATCATCGTGAAGCATATTCCTTAACGGAATTCATAATAGAAACGAAGATCTTGGCTTACTGAATTTAGGACCTTTTAAAATGATAGCCTCTATGCCCTGTTTACAGATTTCTATAGTTTTAAGACCGATCAGCCTTCACCTTTTTATCATATGATGACTCTACCGACAAAGAAAGTTTTGCCAAAAGTTATAATTTCGTAGCTGACACTGGTATGACTGATAAAATCCCTTTTATTGTTGTTAATCTTTTTTACATTTTAGTCTATACGGCTGTAGGTAGGAGTTTGTGGTAATTTCCTTCGTTTTTGGAAGTGTGAATATGAGCGTTTACACCATAATTAAAATTTCTTTAGCGAATTCAAAAAGAAATATTTATTAAATTTAGTGCTATAAAGTCCAGTCACATATCTCTGAACTCGCATAGATCTATGAGAAACAGATAGAAATAGGAATTTTGACGTCTCCAATGGTATTATTTTCTTAATGATATTCGAACCTCAGCCAGGAAAGATAATTCTCTAAATTATTTAATTCAAAAAGTCTCCAAATGAAGCTTGAAATTGAAATCTTTTCTAGCAACAATTTTTATTTTAGGCATCTCAATGTGGCTACGTGTTCTTTGAAGTATTTGAAACGGTCGTATAAAGAGTTGATGTTTGTACCCAACAAAGGTGTACATATTTAAAGAAATCGAATTTCCTTTCATTTAGCCTTAGATACCTTTTTGTATGATGTGAAATAAAAAGTGATTTATAGTGTTTTTCAATGATAGGAATCACTTTATATACTATGTATTATCAAATAAATGAAGTAAAGAAAAGGAACTATTGTACCATATAAGTATAAAATATTGCAATTTTCTTCAAATGCCTTGATACCTATAGTTTTTTTATCCTAATTTTTTTATTGCTCAATTTTCAAATTGAAAATGCATGATAGGCAATTCTATTTTATGATAAAAATTTATTTGAGATATACTAATTTTCCCCATATACATGTAATATGATTAACTTCAATGATGAAGAATTACCATATGCAAACTCACATTATTTTGATAATTCATAGATATTTTAGTGAGTATTTTCAAATATTCAACGGATGATTTTCAGAACCTGAGCATCGGACGACTACCTTAAACTATAGCTTAAGAAGGTGTTTTTAAATAACTCCCTTTAAGAGGAAGCATACGAGAAAACTATACAAAAATCAATGTTTTGGTATGAATCTTGTTTTCCATCAATAAATTAAAAACAGAGGAATATTTTTCTATCAGGTATATGTTCGAACTTTCAGGATTTGATATTTTTTGTACCTTTTCCAAATCATAGAGGAAAAAGTTCTTATCACTTATGTATTGAATCATACAAATGAGAAATTGGGGATAAATATAGACCTAAACAATTAGGACCTACAATTTTTTTTTTCATTTTGATTGCAATGCTTTCATGACAAGTTCAATTTCATTTGAAAATGATTATATTTTCTTGCATAAGTTATATTTCTTCAGCTGTTTGCTGTTGAATCAAGCTCAAAGAAGATAAGGAATTCTGGTGGATGCAAATACCAGAACAATCAGTTGACAGATTATGAATTCATTCAAACAACTCTTCTTGGAAAGAACATCACGTGCGTGAAAAGAATTTTTTGGTCCTTTTTGGCCCCTGTTTATTTCCTTAGAACTAGAATCAATATATGTAATGCATTGCGAACGTCGTAGCATCAATATGATCAGGATGATATTTGTTTGCAGACAGCAATGGGATGTATTAAAATACTAATAAAATACGTCTGTTGGCATTAGCCCTAGCACGTTAGTCCTAGAACAGTTCATGCTTTAATATCGCAACCAAGTGGAGTAGGATATGTCGTCACATCTTAGCGGCATTTGCCAGGGAAAAATAAGTGAGAAGTGAGGCTAAATTAATGGTTGTATTTCAATTTATTTCACAGACTTTGAAGGAGAAAAAAGAATATGTTTAAGTTTCCGTGTAAAAACAATTTTTGAGACAAAATGAAACACATTTTAAGCTTTTTTCAACGTGATTATTTTTAAATCAAAATGTCTGTCCACATAGCTATTGGTCTTAAAAGCTTCTTTCTTCTTAATATAACTAATAATTTGGAGCCTTATTTTAAAACAATGGGTTTAAGCCTTTACTTTCCTCAATTAAAATAAAAGATGAAAGACCTTTAACATAATGACTTGAAATGTGAAAGCATATTTGTAATATTTCTACAATAGACAAGAAATCATATCTTTACATATACTATATTAAAAGCAATACATTCATTTCTTATACTCAAAAGCTTGGCGTTCAGTAAATCTTTATATCTAATTGGTGTTTGTTTTTTTAATAGTGGTTAAGTACTGGCCTGGTCTTGGGTTCAAAATTCATTCTCAAACCCCTTATTGAAATAACTATTTAAACAGTTGACTTGATTTCAATAGTTGGTGCAACATGTAAAAGAAGTTAATAAACAACTTTGCTATCAGAGATTCTGCAAAGTTTTCTCATATACGTCAAATTACATTTAAAAAGCATTATTTTTGTGAATGTACTTTAACACATTCAATATATTTTTATAAGTTTTTCATAATTTTTGTAAAGATGCATCCACTTTGAAGAAATGAGGGTTATATTTCCTTCTAAACTAAAGTTTGTTCAGAATTAAATGTGTAGTATTCTTTAACAATGCACTATGGAGTTTTTGTGATAATATATCTATGTCATCAATTGCAAGGACATGGAAATAAAATCTTACATAGCAATTGAGCATACTCACAAAGAAGAAAATTGAATATCCTTAGCCCTGTTTCTTTCATGATTTGATTCCTTCAACCGAGGTGAATAAAATTCATATAACCTGGCATAAAAATAAATGTATCATTGATTTTAAGGAAAAGATATTTAAAACCACAAAGGACCAATGGAAATGCTATATTATTTCCGTTATATTGCAATTAATTTTCCATTTAAACTTACAGGCTCTTTTTTTAACAAAAGCTGTAAAAAAGGTATAAACTGAGACAACAAATTACGCATTTTTTGATAAACACTGAACTATGACAACAGTATTCCTGAATTAGATTTTTATCTTGCTGCAAAGGTTTAATTTTTTTCTCCAAGAGGTATATTTTGCACTTGCTTTAATTTTTTAGTGATATAAGAATCAAAGTTATTACTCTATTGTAGATCTACTTTAAATTATCTTTAAATAGGTACTTTAATTCAAAGAATTGGACAAGTTATTTTGATACGCCCATCCGATAGACCAATTTTGAATCCGCTACTGAGTTTTAAACTTTTAACATCTCAAAGATCACACGGTTTTTCTCAAGACTTTCAAACATCTAAGAACCGTTCACGGTAGCTCAGTCGGTAGAGCGCTCGCTTCGTGATCGGAAGGTCGTGAGTTCGAATCTCGGCCGCGACTGACCTAAGTCGATAAAAAATGGGTAGCAACTGTTCCTTCGCCATGCGCTCGGCACTTTGAAGTGAAAGTTGCGGGTCCTTCGGATGAGACCTTAAAAACCGAGGCCCCGTGTCACGGCAGGCGTTGGCACGATAAAGATCCCTCACAGCTCAATGGCCCTGAGTGCAGAGTAAAGGTCAAAATTTGAAGCCCTTCACCGGTATATGGTGACGTCTCTATATGAGTGAAAAATTCTCGAATGGGACGTAAAACAACATACAATCAGTCAATCAATCAAATATCTAAGACCAAGTACAATGGTTATTTTTGCATATAAAACATATAAAATGGTTATTTTATTTTATTTTAGTACTTACAAAAGAAGTATCAAAGCATCGTACGGTCTTTAAAGGATTAGTAGTTTGTTTATAAGTCAGTAGCTTACAAATATCTGGTAGTAGGCAAATATGCATTTCCTCTTTAGATTTATGATCATGCTCCAATTAATTAATACGACACACGAAGACCTCCTGACCGTTGCTTAAACAGTTTCCGCTTGATTGACTGTCAAAGTAAAATAGACTGTGGGAGTTGTACTTATTTATAGAGGATGGACATTTAACTAGTGTATTTTATTTTCTCTCGTTTGATTCACAATCTTCAGATGACCGGGACAGTCGGGTATTTTTCTATATAAACATTCATAATATTTTCAGTGTCCATTTAATAACCAAGCCATTTCCATTTCTTTCAAGTACGCAATTACATGTACACTACAAGTAAGGAAAACCCAATACCCATACAAACAAACGGCAATCCGTCTGTTCATCCTACGGGTGTAATTTATGAACAAATTTTTTTTTACAAAAAATTATTCTTTTTTATAATGTTTTTTTATTATGCTGACAGTATCGTAGGTAGCAAAAAGACATTGTAAGTAAAGTCGAGAATAAGGAGGTCTTGTCAAAGCCTTTTTATGTTTTAGATAGATAATTACGGTTCTATCTGCATAAAAGGACGTTTACACTTCAGTAATGCGGATTATAACAGGTCCTGTAAGTTATATACCCAAAATCTCTACTCTTAGGATTGTAAAACAGAATAAATATTTGTGATTTAATTGTTACACAACCTCGATTTGAAGGCTGTTTGTGATATACTTTCGGGACTTCTCAAATATCTGGCTGTTGTAAAAAAAAAAAATCCAAATACGTCTTCTTTGTAAAAAGACCTTTCTTTGAATACCAACTTATTGGACATTTGACGTTGGAATTTGACCTACTTTTAAAAAGAATCACTGACTTTTAATCTAAGTCATAACATTTGAATGGTTAGAACTACGACTATGGAAGCCTTTGTTATATGCAATGTAAAGATTTTGCTTACAAACAGATTAACAGAGAGACCAAAGCTATATGACCCCGAATCTTCTATTATCCAAGCTTTTGATTGGCTCACACATCATCACATGTTCAAGTAAATGATTTTGAAAGTTTGGAAAGTTTGTGTTTATTTTTAATTTTTTGCTTGTTTCGGTAAAATAAACAATTTATTGCATGAATGTTCGGGAAACCTGAAGATTTATTCATCCATGAAATATCACATTCCCAGAGGGCTTCTTTGTTCTTTGTTGAGTTTTCTTGGCTGAATAAATCTTCATATTTCCATCACGATTATGCAATAAATGTATAATATTACAAATGTATCCCTTTCATTCGGTCAATCCATAGATTTATCGACTTTACAGAAATTCATATCGACCTTAGCTTGCACTTTCTGCTCGATCGATATGCTTTTCTGAAAGGGATATGTGTGTATAATATTATTTTTATACATTGTTATGAGTTTGGTTTGTATAGTAATATATAAATAAAGGTTTATTTCAAATATTATTTATTCACATGATATGCTAGCCGATATAAACATGGAATATACTGTATATCACTTCATATTTTATGATTCATATTTTAAATTATCCCACCAAAACACAGTCAGTAAATGCGTGTAAAAGTATTGAAAAATTCCGTAAATACGTGTATTTCCTAACTGAAAACAGAAAATACATGTATGCATAAATAGGAATTTCATATTTCCTAAAATTCAATCAATACATTAAATTCCTGATTACACGTAGTTACTGTAACATTTATGAAATATACAACATTCAACACCTAGATAATATTTTTTATTAACAACTTAACTTTACTAACAGCACTGAAGAAAAATAGGAACATCTGATTTCGAATGCCTCAGATTATAAGTATTTGTAAACTTCATGTTTTATCTTGGTAATATTTGCAAAATACTTTTAAAAAACAGGATATTCAACACATTAATGATTTGTTGAGGCATTCAAAATAGAAAGCCTAAAAGTGTTGGCATCATACCATTACCGTTTTATCATAAACAAAAATTTAAAATTAAGAAAAAAATCCGTCTTCTCCTCGTAAGATATACAAAATAAATACACAAAAAATTCACCTTAGGAATAAAAATACATGTAACAGAAACTTAACGATAGATCTTCTCAGATATAATTGCAGTGAGCATGTATTTTGAATGGCACAGTACATGTCCATCAATTTCAGTACAAAAACAAATTTAAGAAAATATGTTCATGGATAAAAAATATTTGTTATAGATGTATATGCAGATCGCTCAATGTACGTATTACTATGCATGTTCCATAGTTATTTACGCATTGATAGGTTTTAGCAAACTAGATAACTTAACCATTATCAAATCATTATTTTTACGTTCTGTAGACCACCTTAAATACTCAATACACTACCATACATGTATAATTTTTTATATCGTTTGGGAGCCTCTCTAATGGTATATTGTCTTTGATTATGACAACAATGGAACTCTGACGCTGGTTGTGGAAGGCGTGAGTAATTGCCATCTGGACGGCGTATGAGGCCCAACCACTCTCCAAAAAACATTTTGTGATCACGAACAGCACTTTTCTACTTTCATTTATACATTTAACTTTCTCTTTTGCTTCCCAGTCTCCTGGAGTTGAATCTTTATCTTTAAGCTACACTTTCATGTTCAAACTTTCTAGTTTTGGATACAAAGTATGAAAAATCCACAGTGAGTCTTGTTGAACATAAGACACAAACACATCATAAGTATTGTTATTTTCTTTGTGTTTTTTTTAATGTACACCCTTCCATCTGATTTAAGTCTCAGTTTGACATATTCTACGTGTACATGGTATTTTCGTAAAGCAGCCATAATTAGAATTAGAGACAAAGTAAACAAAATTAACACCACATAGAAAATAAGCCATTACTTTGTTTGGCTTTCTTCATTAAATTTTTTCTAGATCTTCTCGTCATTAAATAAGTGGTTGATAGGCGTTCGATTCTTTGCACATAACGTTTTATTGAGATCAGAAAACAGATGGTTGTGACTTCTCATCCACTGCAAAGACTGAATATGTGAACAGGTACAGGAAATCGGATTTCCTTCTAAATAAATTGATATATTACTTAGAGTTTTAATCTTTCTTTGGTCATTTATGGAGAACGCATATATCGAATTGTATCGAAAATAAAGATTTATCGAATTCTGCATATAATTGAAGGCACCAGGAATGTTAGAAAAATTATTATTGTCAAGGTTTATTTCCATCAAAGATTGCTGTTGGTCTATGAAAAGTGACGAAGGTAAATCATTCAATCTGTTTCTTGAAAAATCGATTGTGGAAAGATTTTTGAGATTTTTAAATACTAGTATATCTTTAGTATTTGATATTTCTATGAAATCTAGGCTCATGCCAATCGCATATATGACCTGAATACCTCGAGAATGCTGAAGTAAATCAGGGTGTATTTTTTCAAATATATTACCAGACACGTCAAGCGTTGTTAAAAACGGAAAATCCAATTGATCGACGTAAGCCAGTGAAAAATTTGTTTTTTGGATGTACAATTCTTGCAATCTTTCCCCAATAATTTTTAACGAGGTTTCCATCTTTTCACAGTATGAAGATGGTTTTCAGAAATATCGACTACCTCCAGATTTTCAGATAGAGTGATATTAACATATGTGAAGACGTTTTATATTGATAGACATTCAATTGTTCCTCTTTATATTGTGGATTATTGCAGCAAAAATTCATTTTTTTTCAAATTGTTCAATGATAACAAAGTCATAATTACAGATACGTCTACGACATGGAAATCATTTCCACTCATATCACTCATAAATATTGCAAACAATTCTATAATGTTGTATTGTCGATATTTATTTGTACAGAAACAATACCATTCTTTCACAAAGACAAGGCACGAGCACATATATTTACAAGATATTCCGACACCCATTCGTCAAAAAACATAACTCCTGTTTCAGGATCTTTTTTGTTTTCACAAATGAAAATCTCTTCAATATTGCGATGTT